AAAAAAAAAAAAAAAAAAAAAAAACACTGCACTTTCATGGTTTGGCTGTTCACCATGAACGGCCGATCACGGGCGCAGGGGCATATGACCGGCTGGTCATGTTCACGGTGACGGCACTGCCTCAGGGTTAACGGCCGAGGGTATCCCGCACCGGGAGACCTTTTACGGTACCCAGTCGCACAGGTGTCACCCTCGGTAACGCAACCTAAAAATGAATGTATACAAGCTATTCTCCCGGCCAGATACAGCCAAAATAAGGGTACGTTGTGTTCGGGGGAAGATGGTAGAAGGTGAATGCACTGTAGCCCAGCTGCTGGGTCGCAGAGAGCAGGCACAGATCTAATCCCAGCCCACCAACTGTAGATGCTCCAGAGCGGTGCGAGCTACAACCTTATCCTGACACAAGACAGCGGGCCCGGGCCCCTAGTCGACCGAGCACCATCCATCTAGGCTTGGACAGGGAACCGGCAGTTTGCCCCTAAGCATGCAATTGGGGACGGCAGGAATAGAACCTGCAACCTGCATTCCCAAAGAACGGGTGTATTTCGTGGTCTAACGCCTGCAGTGGTCTGCAGCATGCGCCACAGGTGCCCCACTGGGCGTGGCAATGCTCGCACTTGCAACCTCTGGAATCGAACACACTGGGCTACAGTGCTTTAACTCAGTGTGAGAATGGCGCTAAGCTCTGCGCAGTGAATCCACAATATCAATATTCAGAACATCACACTGGAGTGCAGGTCGAAGATTCGAACCCGCAGGCCGAAGATCTGAACCCACACCCTAAGCCACAACATTGAGGTAAAGTGCAGGCTGCAAGAGCATCTGCATCTGCAGAGAGAAATGTGTACACGTTCTGAGAAGGGATACAAAGTCATGTGTACAGGTTCTTTCCTTCTGTTTTTTTTGAGACCCTACAAAAATGAAGGGGGTAAAGGGATGCAGAACCAGAGTCTCAGATGGGATGGGGACTAAGATGGAGCCAGAAGGAGACAGAAGAAGACAGAGGAATACACAGACCGCAGTGAGGGAGGACAGAAATCTTGAAGCAGGGAATATGCAGTTGGATACCTGGAAATTGGGCCTTGCTCCCCTACGCAACACTCTACATGCATTTGGACACCATCTGGACCTGATTCACTCACAATGTTCGACTCATCCAAATGTACCTGGTCCAGAAACGTGCAAATGCATGTAGAGTGTTGGGTAGTGGAGCAATGCAGGCGCCTACCTCCTTTGGCTGGTGCCAGCGATTTTGCTGTGGCAGCCGACCCCTGAAAGTTGCGGTGTGCAATGCCATGCATGCAGCCATGCCAGAGAAAAATGGCTGGGAAATGTACTGGTGCTATAACTGGCAGGGAAATGGTGTTTGAGTTCTGTTTAACCCGATTCGACCCATCGTCCATCTGGGACGAAGTGGTGCAGCGGGACTCTATTTGCACGGCCTATAACTGCCCGGCGGGTCTATTTTCGCTATTGACTATCTGGCCTGTGGGACAAGGCTCTCGGCCTCATCTCACAGGCCCTTTAGAATTTTGGCCGGTACCGCCGTACCGGTGTTGGTACCAGCCCACTGGGCCAGTCCACTTCAGTCCGTCCGCTGGGGTTATACCCCAGCCGCAGTCTGTGATTTGAGTCAGTCTATATTGTTTCTTGTGAGCGTGAGGTGTGAGTGTGCGCTGTCGCCTGCATGGTTGACAGCATTCCTTCTCTGCAACCATCTCCACCTCTTCTCTCTTCTTCACAACTGAAGGGATCTGCCATCCAAGCATATTCTGTTACAAGTGGGAAAGGACAAAGGGGGGGTCCTGGGGAATGGTTTTCCGACGGGGATTGGGGGTGGGGTCTTTTGGGGTGGGGGTTCCTGGGGTGGGGGTTCTAGTGAAACGCTCCTTGAAAATTGACATCCTAATGTAAGTTGGCTGCGATGATCATCAATGATCCAATGACACTTTTTTTTGCATCTGAATGACCTGACCTTCTTCCACCTCCACTTCGAATCGGAATCCCCCCATTATCTATCCTTCATGGTTGCAGGGGCCGACAAGCCAGGCCATTTCGGTGTGACAAAGGAGGAGCTCTGTTTTCTCTCGTCTGAGCATCATCTTGAAGGTTACCGTGAGCTCAATGGGGTAAGCTCGAACGGGAGCGAGGATTAACTTCCTGCGTGTGTCTAGTATGACGGAGGATTAACTTCCTCTGTGTGTCTATGTACCTTCTACAGGCCTGACATCTCTGCGTCTGTATGCCCCCTACAAGCAAGCAGCTAGCTGAAGATTAGATATATGGCTGGCCGATATTTTGTGGAAGAATGATGTTACAGTAGAGGAAGACAGAACTTACCCTCTAAATTTGCATCAGATAATCTCGCATAAAAATTACGATAGGGAGGCCTGGTGATTATCGACCACCTTACAGACAACCCCTAGCTCTGCTGCCAGATGGCCAGCGTGATCACAGCTCACTGAGTTCAGCAACAGACATTGTGTTGGATTGGCAATGACAATTTTGGGGTCTCTGCAGGGAAGAAGATATCAGAGTTTTCGGGAAGAAAACTCAAATCCAGATATTAGAAACTTTAGGGGTTCTCAAGCCTTGGGTCAAGGTCAAGCCGGTAAGACAACTAAAACGACACGCACACACAGACACACGCACACACAGACACACGCACACAAGAGAGAGAGAGAGAGAGAGAGAGAGAGAGAGAGAGAGAGAGAGAGAGAGAGAGAGAGAGAGAGAGAGAGAGAGAGTGTGTTGCTGCTTGTTCATTGAACGTGCATTTCGCATTCAGTATCTGAAAGCATTCGACGCATTTGCGGAGCGGCCCGTTGCCCTCTTCAAAACAAGAGAGAGAGAGAGACAACACGCGTTTTGACGAGAGTTGGGGGGAGAGAGAGAGAGAG